TAATTATATCCCAGCCAAAACCAGGACAATTGTACGCTCCCTTATACCTCTGTTTGGACATACTTTAAAACTGCTGGGTTTTTTTCCTTTTTTTCTTTCTTCAGGCTGTAGCATTATAATCCTGCTTATGCTGAATATAGTCAACAATTACAATGCTAATTTTTAATTACTCAACAATGTATATACTTGTTTATTAAATTAACCCAGCATAAGGGTAATCACTTCAAGAAATTCTGAAATTTTAAAATATTTAAAGGATAAACATAATTAACACACTGCATCACAGAGCTCTGGTTGAATTAACCTGACATGCTGTCAGCATGGTGGACAGTTTTTAAAGGTACTCTAACAAAGACCTTTGTTACCAAAAAAGCAACCACAAGTTACTCAGTAATCACATACAACATCAGAGAGAAACCGTAAGCCATGCACAACACAAAGTTTAAGAGTTTGACACATCAGTGCTGTACTAGAGAAGTCCAATTACACTTCTTGGACACAAGAATGTTACAGGGTAAGTGCGGATCAAGCTGAATTTAAGAACAAAACTAGAGTGTCTCTTCCTAACAAGTACAAGCCTAGCAAAAGAGCAAAATCTGATTTCTGTAAAGAGCGAAGCACTTCTTACACCTTTTTTGTGTTAAAACAATAAACAATTACTTGGTGCTGCCAATCCTTCAAAGTTTTTGATGCACAGAGATTAGTATTTTCTCCCAACTTGCTTAACAGTTTTGATTTCTTTCCCTTATCCTTGTTTAAAACATTTACTTCCTCTGCTGGTCAAGAACAGCTCACAAAAAACAAGATAAGGAGCAATTAAGACATTATCAGCAGCTAAGAAACTGCAATTAATTTGTTAGAATGAAATCTCATTTTATGTAAAGTTCTACAGTTCAAAGTTCTATGTGATTTTAACAGACGCAAGGTTCAAAATATAAACCAGTTAGTGAGTGATAAGGCTTCTCATCATCCTCCTGAAACAAAACAGACTGCTTTCGTTGAGGTCAGCTGTCAATACCAAGAGACACTGAAAATCCATTTGGTGAAGTATCACTTAAACACACACATCAATATAATCCTGAATCTAATAATATTACGTAAGAACAGTGTTGAAAGAAGAATAACGTCACTACTGACATTTACCATCGCACATTAATATGGCACACTTTTTCCTAATCCATAGCTCCACCATGTGTCAAGAAAGAATAATGAAATATTCAGAATGACTGCAGAAGATAGTGACCTACCTGTAAGCCTGAAGTAAAAATATCTTGTAGATGTTAATGAAAACTGTTCTAAGGCTGTTGATCTAGAACAGAACAGAAATAGAGCTATAGGAATATTTTAGTGTCATGATAGGATTTGTTCAAGTTCAACAACATAAGATGATTTAGAGATCTAGAGAAAAAACATTTTACGCTAAACTTCAAAGATTTCTTTTATGTACCGAAGTTAACAATGTTGTGAAGGCTCAGTTCTGGAAGGTGCTGAGACCCCACGTTTTAGCTGATGTCAACATTTCCAAGCTATGTGGATTACCTCTCAAAAACAACTCTTTATGTTAGAACTCAAAGCAGTTTTAACACTCTTTATCACAAATCATAATATTTCCAAACATCCATTTCCATATTCCCACCTGTAAATCAAGAAATAAACAATGGCATTTCAGTTTGAGGACTGTAATCAATTTGTATTTCATGTTTTTTCCAGCTGTTCTACTTGAATTGAAGGAAAGACTTGATCTGATAGAAGTACAGGTATAACTAGAAAAAAAAAAAAAAGAAAAAAAGTAGTTAAACTCCATGGGCTAATAGACTAAACTAAATTCTGTAAAGTAAGCTTCATGTAACTTCTCATGTTACAGAGATTGCCTGCTAATCAATGAGCCAATAGCTAAAAGATGACTGTAACTAAATTCAATTTAGAAAGATACTAGACATTGTGGCATTAAGGCTACTAGCTATGGAATGACTTCAATACCTCAGGGCTGAATAATTCACCCTGCTAAAAAACCCAAACCAATAACCTTAAACACAAACTAGATGTATTTCTAAAACACATGGTCTAGCCAGATGATTATTAATTAGTCCCGTGACAACCAGGTTATACTCTGATCCATGCAACGCAGGAGCTTAGGAAGCCACCTCAGTTTACCCTGGCATTCCAATTACTTAAGTCAAGCTTATCAAAAGCAAGGTGGCCTTTGTAACAAACACCCTCAGAATTCTGATTAGTGTCCCCCAGACCAGTAGCACTAATGCCCTCGTCAACATAAACTGTTCCTTTTAGAAACACAGCTAGCAAATAAATCTCTTTGGCTATGGATTTCAGTCCTCTGTTGTTACACAATCATGTCATATAAATTCCTTTCCTAAGCTGACCAAGCTTCTCTGTTTTGGAAGACTACTGAAGAACTTCACCACTCTAGTGATAGAAAATCTCCTCCTAATTTTGCACTTAAATGTATGCATGGGCTGTTTATACTAATTATGGTCGGTATACAGCAATATTATCCTTCAGTTTAAACAGTTTTTTCTTGTTAATCTTTAGCAAATGTTTAATGCCATCTCTACTAGTCCATGTAAAGGGTCTACAGAGCTTTTCAGTAGGATATTTTGTACTGTCCCAAGTTCTATGCCACTTCAGATTGCTTTGTGTATACAGTCAAGGTTGCTAGTTTAAAGAGAGGTTACTTCTCCTCTACACTACCGTCTGAACTGTACCAGAGGGAACACCTCTGATGTTCAAAGGATTACTAGTCCCTCTAGACTAGACAAAATTAAACCCAATCTGTAGTTCACATAACACTTACTGCTTCTTTTAGAAGGGTACAAAAAATAACAACTTCAGAACAACAAATGTAGTTATATGATATCAGGTACAATACTGATAATGGTGAAAGAAGCTGAACTGAGGTGATCGAATAAACTTTCTCAGAACCATCTAGTCACCATACAGCATATGACTTCTGGTCACCAGTGACTTGTGCCACATTCAATGGTGTTAAAGGTATGTACATTCCATTAGGATGGAATAAAGAATATTCTGCTGAGCAGCCTGCTATTAAACGCTTAGATTACTATATAAGAAACATAATTGTAAAACCTATTTTGCAGTTAATTCAACTACACCATTCACAAGACACCCTTGTGCTTCTCACACTATGTACAATATATGGTAAAGATGATACTGGAGTATACAACTCTATTTACCTGGAGTAATCGCAGTAAACCTCAAGTGTCTGTATATCTAATAATAAACCACACCACGGGATCAAACGACAATCTGGCAGCTGTTTAAATTTGGAACATCCTGGGATATCATCAACAGGAAAATTCACGACTGTCTTATTGGGGTTTATTAAAAAGCCATACTCGGGAATACCTGTTGCTAGAGTCCTAAAACAGATATAAACAGTTAGCCTAACTCCCCCTGCAAAAGCAAACAAAAAACCCCACCATGCTGCAAGATTCATATGATCTTGCATAAAAGGACAGAAACCAAAGAATAAAGGGAACCACAGTCGACTCTTTAGGTTAAGGAACACAGCTAGAAATAAAAAAAATTGAAGATATTAGAGGTAAATAAACACATAAAATAAATAAATAAGCTTAAGGATATGAGGATAACGGAGAAAAACTTTTACAGATTAATGTAAATTAAGAACTTAAGCCATGGAACATTTAAGACAAGCTGCATAAACCACACTTACAGAAACCACTGAGCTCAAAATCACTGGAAAAAGACAGATGAAGAGTTATTGTTTTTGAAAGTTAATGAAAACAAGGAGAATTCACATAACAGGAACCTCATTTATCTGACAAAAAGCTTTGAACTTTCTTCACAAAGTTTTCCCTAAGGATGTTTTCATTTCCAGAATGCCTGCTGATTACCTGCTAGACATTGGATCAGAAGTGTCCTCACATGGACAAGCAGCAGTTTGTCTTACTTGGCAATGTACTAATGTGCAGGCTCTTCTTCTTGGGTAGTAATAGTCATAACACTGTCTCCTCAAAATTAATTTCTCGAGTCCCCCAGTCCCAATACTACACTAGAAAAAACTGTTACTACTCTTTCGTGGCACAAAGCTCATAGGATCTGTAAGCATTTCTAGAAAACTTGCACAGAAGAGGTTACTTGTCTACAGAAAATCAACATAGCTGATGCAGAAGCTGATATAGAACAAAGATGCAGATAACTCCAAAGGGCAAGCAGGACAATACCTGCAATGCTATTGCAAGTGACATTATGCTGAAAAGATGTTCTAGAGATTAATAGCTTGAGACGTCCCTAGCCTCTTAGTTTGGCTTATCATTTCCAGCACTGTAAATCCACACAAGACCAGAAGTTTCTTCCTGTTCTGATAAGGAAATGAGGACAAATGAAGTCTTCAAAGTACACTATCCACTATTTAGTAAAATTTATACTTCAAACTGTACTTAACTGATTTCCCCATCACCTTTCAGGCTCACAACAGAGCCGCATCTTTCCAACTATTGAATACTGTGTTGCAGATGCTAAGCTTTTCTTCAAGACCTCTCCTCTGGATCCTTAAAACTGGCTTTGGCTTCAGCAGAATTCTTCTTGGGTGCTGATGGCACATTCATATCCATGGTAACTAGGAACCTCTTTTAGGGTGTTCTGAAGGGCACATAGTTCTGAAACACTCTAAAGAATTACTGTCTGAAAACATCTGTGTGAGTTGCAGGCTGCCATGCTATCAGTATCTTCAAACACTCGTCCCAGAATATTAATGACCAGAAAGTTCTCAGCAATATTGGACCAGAGAAAAGTTGCATTCTTTCCTCGGGAACAGAAGGTAGCAGCACACCTCCCTGATAAAAAAGTTGTAAGAATGTAACTAAAACATCTTAAAAATTTGAGGGAAAATGTTCTTTGGTTAGTCTGCACTACTAATTGCTACTTGAAGCTCCATCAAGGTCAGTAGCTAGGACCCTAGTTTATAGCAGGAATCCCCCACCATGTGAGTTGCAACAGATTGTTAGCTGGCCATCAAGAATGTAGCTATTAGGATTCTTCCCAGCACAGCTGACCAGCAAGGACTCCAAAACAGCCCTTGATTATTAATCCATAAAACAAATATACCTATATGCACAAGCATATATAAAGATGAAAAAGAATGACCTAAAAGATGTTAATGCTTATTACTTTGAAGACTGTGTCTTTAATAGCATACCTTAGAAAAGTTCTTGCCTGCATTAAATGTGGCGTAACCAGCAAAAAGTCATCAATGAGACGTATTAGGACTCTGTAATCAAGAAGAAACTGATGTTAGACTTTTTTATTTTTTTCAAATTTTTGTCATACTCTTCAGAGCAACAATGTGCCCATTTTAATTCACAAGAAGGTAGAGGCCAATATCATCTTCAAATCGAGACTCATGAAGAAATTCTCAGTTCTTCTTCTTTCCTAAAAATAAATGAAACAAAAAATAAAAATAAGAAAGCAAAGGGGCTGGTTACATGAAACAGGACAGGAATTTATACCACACAAGCTACTCCACAGTAGCTTCTTGGATGCAGCATTTTACACTTTCCCAAGGGAGAATTTGCAGTATCTTAATCCACAAGGCAAGGAAAGGAGGTGTAATATCAGGTACACAAGCAGATAGCGGTTTGTTGATGTGCTCTAACTCTGTATCTTCATTTACCATTTAACAACTTATTTGTGAAGCTATAACTTAAATGTAAAACAGGCTACTGTCTACCACTGTAAAGGCTGGAATTTTCTCTTTCAACAGAATTCAGGCCTCAAGCACGCCCATATTTTTCTGATAAATCCTGCCTATTAGATCATAGAGATGAAGCTCTGGAGATGATCTTGTCCAGTCTCCTCTTCAAAGCAGGAGTACTGCTATCACAATGATCAGATCGGCTGCACCTTTGCCTAGCCAAGTCAACAGCCAGGTTATTTTTTTGACTTAAAGGCCAAATGAAACTACCAAAATCATTCAACAGACACCTAAGTAACATTCTAAAATCTGCTGTATATAAAACCAGATGCAACATTAAGGACCGCGTTCTTCTCAATCAGTTTCGTAATTTCAGTATGTATGCACACATCCTTTGAAAGCAAAAGATAGCTGTTTAGACTGATACCATCACAGCACCCTAAAGCCTATAAGAAGTTCTCTACTATTTTTGTGGGGAAATGTTTAAAATTCTGAGACTTCCCATTACCCCGTGATCCTCCCAAGAAGAGACACCAGACAGATGCACTTAACTTGAGTACTCCTACACACTTCTTAGTTTCTTTTTTTTTTTTCTTAGGACAGAATTCACAGTAATGGAGGGAGATGTGTGAACACAGACAAGCTTCAGAGTCCAGCTCATGTCGAAAGACACTAATCTGGGATTCAGCTGCAGATCAGTACATATGGAGGTAAACAGGACTGCAAAGTTTTTACAGCTAATAAAGAGGTAGAGCTTTTATCAAGCTAGCTTTCTGTCAAGCACCTAAGAAGCAAGCATGAGCAGGGCATAAAGACAGAAGATGTACCAAGAGCCACACAGGGCTTCAAACAAGAACCAACACGCCTTGTAAAAAATCTGCAGTAAAGCCATGACCTTGATAAAATGTTACGATTTACAGACGGTGGATTGGAAAGCCCTCAGGTAGAAGCCTGGAGTATCAGAAAGCCTGTAATGAACATCCCATTTTGTTTGAGGACAAAAGACCACAGACATTGAGGGAATGAGCACAGGAGAACCATAAACTTCTTAGATGTACAAGAAGAGCTCATTAGACTCTTTACAACATCCATAAATACTGCGCTCTTTGTAAGAACAAGTTTCCTACCCATAGATCTAAGAAAGCTTCTTTTCAGTACTTTTCTTCCCAATCTTATGACAAACAGGGAAATTCCCCTCACAAAACAACCACAGTGACAATGAAGCTGTAGAGATGTTTGTGTGTGCCACACTCCTATTGGAGAGCTGGAAATCCTTGAAATTCAAAATTAAACTTCAGAGAAAATGTCTAACACATATACTATGTATTATGTACTACTACAATAAAGCACAGAACAAAGCATCCCTACCCATCCTGCTGTACTCCACAGAGCAATTTGTTTTCCATGTCTCCATAGCATAAGCTGCAAAGTAAGGTTGACAAAATGGAGCCCTGTGGAATTCCACAGCTCTGTAAGTAGTACCTAGTAAAGAATAAAAAAAATAAAATAAAATTCAAAACATGCAACAAGAAGATTGCAATAGCCATTAAACATCTACTTATTTTTTTCAAGTATAATACATATGTTTCAATAAGAAATATTCTACATGTTTGCTAGTTAGCCTTAAATTTGTTTGTTCTTTCCTCTAAGAATCTACTTATGGCTCGAGAAGTTTTAAGTTAAACAGTGAAAAAAACCCACTAATACACATATTCCTTTCTTATTAACAAACTCCAGTAGACAACTGTCATTAAGTGAAAGTAATTTTATAACTGATCTCAAACCACAATGCTTCCTTCCTCCTTCAGCTGCCAAGCCACCCTTCATTTAAGCTTCGTAATTCTTTATGTTGTATCTTACACAGCTTTAAAAGAAGTGTTCTTGTACAAGAAACAAAAGTGCACTGGACAAAATTTTCAAACTATAATTTACTTATTTTTAATTATTATTGAGCTGTTTATTCTTTGTTTATACTTGTACAGCATGACCTGGCCAAGGAAAATATTTTCTTGGGTTTTTGTTTTTGGACTGGGTTTTTTTGTTTGGTTTTGTTTGGTTTTATT